TTTCACAATATAAATATTATTTAAAAATAATACTAATGAATATTATATAATTATAATAAGAAAATATTTTTTATGGAAAAAATTACTACTTGAATAGTTAATTTTTATTTAAAAATTTATATACTTACATTTAGAAATTTGTCTTCTAATAATGAATGCGGGATGAATTCTTGTAGAACTGATAAATTTCTCTGTTAACAACATTCGGTCGCGTTTTTCAAAGTATTCGAAAATATACCTAAAAAAATACATAACTTTTCATCAACATTATTATTTTGAAAGATTGTATTTTTACTCTTGGAAAAAATTAGAGAGCTAGAATTTAAAAAAATTTTTTCTATAAAATAAATTCCTAATTATTAAAAAAAAATTGAATACGCTTCATTTAACAGAAAAAATATTTAAAATTCTAAACCGAAAAAAATCTCTAATTAATCATTAAACGAAACGAAGAAAAATAAAGAATATTATCATTAATATAAAACATCATTTATATTTAATTTTTCAATGTTTATTATAAATTTTATTATAGAAAAAAAAGAAAAAATTGTCGATATTCGTTTTTTAATTATTATATATACAAGGTAGAAAATTTTAGGAGTAATAATTTAATGAAAAATTATATTCAATGTTACAATTTAATGTGTTTAAAAACATTAAAAAATAATTTTCTGTCTCCAAAAGATGATAATATGCCGATAAGATATATCTCCTGTAAGATAGAATTTTTTATGTTGCTATTGCACAAGTGAGTTGTTGAAACGTGTTATTTCTTATCAACTCGTGATCTTACATTTAAATTCGAGATTATTATCACATTAAAGCAAACGTTTAAGCTTGATGTTGAAAAATCGGTTTATGTTATCTGTCGTAAAGTTCACCTCTAATTTATTAATCCATTGCAAATGAAGGAATGCAACTTGCGGGATTCTTTTTCGCAGAAAACATTTAAAAGGACTTTTTTTCTTCATTTCAAACGCGCTTTTATATTAAAAACAATTATAATATGTAAAAATGTATATAAAAACGTATAAAAAAGTATAAAAGAATATTAAAAAGTATATAAAAAATTTTTGGAAATCTAGTCATTTTTTAACTCAATTTTATTTAGAAAATAATCGAAAAAAATGTGAATGTAAAAGAAAAAAAAATTTTTAAATATATAGTTTTTGGAAAAAATGTAAATAATTTGAAAGGAAAAATAAAGGAAAATAAAAGAAATAATGCAAAATAGAAACAAAATAAAAAAATAAATCAAAATAAAAACCAAATAAGACAAAAAAAAATTTTTAAATACAAATAAGAAAAAAAGTAGAAAGAAATGAAAAGAGAAATTGATTTTTTACAGTAGAAAAATAAGAAAAAAAATATAAAACAAGGAAACTAAAAATAAATAAAAAAAAAATAAAACGAAAAGATTTTTTTTTCTAATAAAAAGAAGAAAAAGAGTTACAGATTTTTTAGAGTAGAAAAATAAATCAAAGAAATATAAAATAAAAATACAAAGAAGGAAAAAAAATTAAAAAATACAAAAAAGGAAAAGAGAAACTGATTTTTTATATACGCTGGGAAAATAAATCGAAAAAAATAAACTAAAATGAAAAATTCCATTCAATATATCATGAATCAAAATGAAATTAACGATCGCTGAACTTAATCGTATTTTGATAAGGATAATTATACTAATTTTATTACGCCCGAGTCGCCATAAAATATTCTTTTAATAAAATATCGAGGTAGCGGCAATTTTTCTCGACGAGGCCTCTCGGCGCGTTCATCAAAGCGATGAAAAGGTTCGCTCCTAATAAAGTTGGAAAGTAATGCTGTAGGCAGGTTTTTGTCGAAAATGGAAGATGACCAAGAAAGAGAGAGAGAGAGAGATAGAGAGAGGGACCACAGAAGAGTGTTCGGTAGGTAATTAAAAATATGTTAATTTGCCGCAACCGCTAATTGGTTTTTGACTAAATTTTTTAATTAAGTCTTAAAGTTGATTGGGGCGGCAGCACACTGATTTATCGAAAACTTTCCGGAACCCCTTCACTTATATTATCTAATTATAAATAAAATATCTCAATATAAGTGTTGAATTTTACTCTTTCTCTGTTCAATATCATTAAATTAATATTGACTCAACAGTGAAAAATGTGCTTACATTAAATGGCGTGTTGGCTGAGTGAAAAGAAAATTAGCTCCATCTCTTTATTAATAAAAATTGAAGAAAATTTCCTGAAAATTATTAAACATTATATATATTAAATATTATGTATTTTATATCATTATTAAATGTTAAAATTATAATTGCATTATTAATTATTTAGTTATAAAAAAATATTAAAATAATTATTTCCATATTTTATTATTACTATAATTGTATAATTATATTATTATATTCTAATAATAATAATAACAATAATAGTAATAATAGAATAAAAATAATTGATATTGTATTTAAAACTAGCAACAATTCGCGCGCGGCTGACTTCTCGCTCACTTTTTTTAAATAAAATTAGCAATTTTAAAAATAATAGAACTTAAGAATTTTTAATTCAAATTTTTTTAAAATAATATTATAATTATAATAATCATAATATATTCTTAGTTTCTGACATAGGGAATTCAGGGAAAAGTCAGGAATTTTTATTAAAAGTACTGAAAAAAATTAAATTTTTAGAATTCATAACAAAATTCTGAATTTTTGTTTGAATCATAAACTGTAAAATTACCACGAATTTTAATACAAAAACCTTCAATTTTTTCAATTTCTGACAAAAATTTATTTTTAAATAACTTAAATCTTGAACAACTAAGTATCAGAAAATAAATAAATTATTTAATGAATAATTTTACTTAAATATTACAAAATTAATTCAAATTTAAAAGAGTTACGTTTACAATTTTCATAAATAAATGAACTTCAAATGGTTTCAATTTGAATTTTTATAAAATTTCAATGTTGAATGAATTTAATTAGAAATTTTAATGAACTTAGATTTTTGAAAAATTTTAATAATGTAAAATCTTCTAAAATTATAGTTAAATTTTTTTTTTTATTTTTTCATATATTCAATTAATTATTAAAAATAATGGATTTATAGAAAAATTGAATTTTGAAGAAGTTACAAACGATTGCAGAAATTCAATTATTTTTAAAAGTAATAAAATTCTTATCACAAAATTCAATTATTGTTCCAAATTTACAAGAAAATCTCAACAAAGTGCCAATTATTATCTTTATAAATATAAAAATTCTTCTTCAAAATTCGATTATTTAAAAACAATTTTAATAAAATTGTACGCAAACAATTAATTATTTTCATAAATAATAAAAATTTCACAGGAATTCAATTATTTACAAATTTTTTATAAGTTTCTTCTCAATAATTCAATTATTTTCAGAAATAATTCAATTATTTTACAATTTAATTATTTTCAGAAATAATTGAATTATTTACAATTTAATTATTTACAAATTTTTTATAAGTTTCTTTTCAATAATTTAATTATTTTCAGAAATAATAAAAGTCATCACAGAATTTTAATTATTTTTAATACAATTTTAATCAAACTCCTTGAAAAATGTAATTATTCTAAATTTTTTTATTAAAATCCGTCAAAAGAATACAATTATTTAAAAATTTATTAATATGATTCCTTATAAGAATTAAATTTTAAGAAACATTCAATTGTTCAATAAATAATTTACTTTTCTATTTAAATAATTGAATAAAATTTAATTAATTTTATAAAACATGAATAAGTGGAAGACTCGGAGTGATCGATTTCCTCATGTTTTATAACAATTTTCTTAAAGTTGATTAATTTCTAAAAGGTTTGAATTTGAAATTTTTGAAAATCTTAATTCCTATATAAAAATAATAATAATTAAATATTTAAAATATTTAAAAAAGAAATTATTGTTTTCGAACAATTTTACAATTAAAGATATTCGTAAATAAATCAAACTTTTTTTAATAAAATTTTTTCCTTTATATTCTGAAAGTTCAAAAATTGTCAGTTTCATTTTCAATTAAATTTTGTAATTGACAAATATAATTTATAAACATTTTTTCTTTTATTCTTAAAAAGCTTTGAATTTTATTAAAACAATTGAAATTATGAAATAGAATTGATGCAAATTATTTCCAAATGAAAAAAGTGAGTTTGTAAACAATATTGTTATTGAGAAATGCAAATTATGCATAAAATGGGTATATTTTCTAATTCTTAATCAAAATTTTTTACCAATTAACAATTTTCTAGTATTTTTTATAAAAAAAAGGAAGAATAATTTGCATAATAATTTATATCAGTCAAATGAAATTTGTTATAGAAAAAAGCATATAATAAACAAAATGGGTATATTTTTCATTTGTTAATTACCATCTTTTTTTAAATTTTCTAATTTCTAACATTATTTTATTATGAATCATGAAAACATACCTGCATATTTTCGATTTGTCAAACAATATTTAAAAAAAAAACAAAAGCATAAACATAAACTTACTTCAAACTGCGGACAGAATGAATGAAAGGAGGGCAAGCGCAAGTACCGGAGTGGGGGAAATAAGAGCGAGCGAGAAGTTTTCGTTTTTCCTTCTCACTCTCATTGTCGCTCCAGCGCTTGCGCTCCTTTTACGCATACCTACCACTTTCTATAAGAATATTGTAAATGTACTTTTATTATAAAAATTTCAAAAAGGAATTAAAAATAAATAATCAAAAAATACTTCTTTTTTTGGCTGAAATTATCTAATTTTATACAGAAAGAAAATTTTAATTTTAATTGTCTAAAATAAACAATAAAAAAATTTGTTTCTTTTAGTAAAGTTATCCAATTTTACAGAAAGAAATTTATAATTCTTTAATAATAATTATAATAAACAATAAAAAAATTCTTTCAATTCGGTTAAAATGGATAATTTTAATGAAACGCAATTTTTTAATTCTTTTGGAATAAATGGAATAAATGTGTTTTTTGCAAAGAACAAAACAAGAGAGAATTAAATATTGAAATCACTTTTATTTCACTATAACATCATTCATGGATAAATTATCAGTTTACATTTATACAGAGCTTTGTACAGGAAAGAAATGTTCATAAAATTTTTTTTTCTTTTATTATTATTAATCTTTCCTGCAATTTTTGTATTTGTCTGTTCATTAATCATCATACATGTAGATACATAATTTACATATCTGTTTTCCCTCACGCACACATACACACTTATATATACACAAAAGAAAATTATACAGGATGTTTAAAAAAAAAGAATTTTGTGACGAAAACAATTTTTCTTTTTTTAAACAAGAGGTAAAAAAAATTTATTTTTCTTAAATTTTTCCTTTAATGGAGAAAAAAAAATATTTATCTATTTTTGGTATAATAAATCGAAATATATTTTCTTTCGAAAGAAATGAAAAATTTTCCACCCTGCAAATAATAATCTATTACTATATTTTATAATCAGCGTAGAGACAATTTATTTACATATGTACATTTTACATGTACTTTGCATTAGAGATCAAGCGCAAATGCTTTTTTTTTGTAAATGCTTTCATGATCATTATAATTACTATTTTAGAGGACCATTTTGTTTTCTTTTCGATTTCGAATTTTGCAAGTTTTTACAATAAAGCAAAAAATAAAAAAAATCTTTTTTTGAAAATATTTCCTGGGAGCAAGTGCAAAAAAGAACAGTAATTTTTCATTCTCGGAAGGTTTTGAGAAAAAAAAATGCCGAAAGGAAATAAAAAGAATTTAAATCTATTTCAAATTGTGCGGCGATAAATTTTGCGTGAAAACAATTTAAGTCCTAATATTTTTGTGTTCACCCTGAAACATGTGTGCGGGACTGTCCAATCGACCAAGGCGACGTAAATACTTTCTCATCGAACACAGCTGGTCTTATGGAAGTCCAAGTCTGTGGAAGTCATTACTCGTTAGACTGCATTCGTTAACCAGGACATTAAAAACCGTATTAAAGTCACATGCAGGTATCATAAAAGACCATTTTAGTGTGTAGAATAAAAAAAAAAGAAACAAATTCGTTCGACTCGTTTTTCATTTTTATTTTTTTTTATTTGTCTTCAGTCTCTTTGGGCATACATTATTATTAGTGGAGTTTCGATTGAAAATTAAGAAACAAAAAACAAATAGTTGTAATCATTTAGAAATTCATTAATAGTTTCTTAAAAGATCGCAAAGGAAGCGTAAAGCAATTGCCATTAAAATATGCTTTCTCTTTAATATTCGAATATATTTATAATTTCCAGAGGGAAAAAACAAAATATTTGATATCGAAAAAATTCTACTTTCTCTCCTTATAGATTGAAAATGAAGAAAAATTTATTCTTCCGCACTTTAAAGTGTATGCAGTTCATAAATTGATAATACTGCTCATTTGATAGTCGTATAAATTGAGGAAAGTGGCAATTCAGTAATAATATTCGCACATATAACCGAAAAGCAAATTACAAAACTCGTTTTTGCTTTTCTTTCTTTTTTTTTAGTTTGGCGCGGTAATAAAGTGGAATAAATTGCACTTCGGGGTGATTTTAATTTGAAAAAAATCGATTTTTTTCTATAGGTAATAATCGCTTTTTCTAGAGAGCGGAGCGCGTGTGCGAGAGTCTTTCCTTCTCGCACTCATTGCCCCCTCTCTCACTCCCGCGCTTGCGCTCTCGTCTCTATTTCTATTTAATCAATTTTCTAAAATGCGTTTCAATCGACGTTCAATATCAGAAAAATAAATCTATAGAATTGAAATTTTACATTTTAAATTCGAAAAGAAATTGAAACTTTTAGTTTATCGAAGATTGTGAGAAAAAATATGCGAAAACTCCACTTAGAAAAAAAAATTATCACGAACTATGTGTAGCCTCGAAAATTAACAAGTAAATTTATATATTATCACGTTTGTTTTTGTTCTGTTTTTCTTTTTTGTATCGGTTTCTCAAACCTTATTTATTTGAAGGTCTGTGGACCTCAATTCTCAAGGTCTGTGTCCAGGAGGACCCATAAACATGGCCGCTGCAGCTGCAGCGTGCGAATGCCTTGCCATTGCTGCCGCTATAAATGGTGGAACTCCCGGCGTTCCTGGAGGTACGACTCCCGAAAACATAAGTCCCGAACCAAAACTCGGATGCAAAAGTGGCCTCGCCGAAAGCCTCAATTTTTCAATTTCCGCCTCCTGCAATCGTTTCGCCTTTGCTCTTCGATTTTGAAACCATATTTTCACCTGAAATGAAAAAAGTCGAAAAATTTATTTTCCTCTATTAGAAAAATTTATAAATAATATAAATTACTAAGTAATTAAGTTTTAATTCTTAATTTATTTAATTAAGTTTTAATTAAATAAATTTACTAAATTATTAACAGGGTTGCTGCAAAAAATTAATTTTGTTTTTCCCTGATTTCCAAACAAAATTTTGATTTTTTCCCTGACCCTGAAGAATATTCTGATTCACTCAAAAAATTATTCGATACTGAAAAAAATTATCTATTATATTTATTTACGAATTTCTAAAAATGTAAAATTATTTCGAAACATTAATGACTTCTTATTTAATTAAATATTTAATAATTATTATAATTTAAAATTTTAAGTAAAATTCATTTTTTAATCAATTTTTATTAGAAAAATTTACGAGAATTCAATTATTTAAATACAAAAATAAATAATTGAATATTTCTCAATTTTTTATGAAGAATTTTATCAAAATTTTTGAAAATAATTGAATTCTTTCGGCGAATTTAAAAAAAAATTTAAGAATAAATGCAATTTTCTATCATTTTATTTAAAATTGTATAAAAATAATAGAAATTCTGCGATAAGTTTTATTATTCATGAAAATAATTGAATTCTTGCAACGAAATTGTTTGTTTCAATTCTCGGAATATATATTTGAATTCTTTCGAGAAGCTTCATTAAAAAATTAAAAATAATTGAATTGGTGCGAAGAAATGTATAAAAAATTGGTAAATAATTGAATTCCTGTGAAATTTTTATTAAAATTTTTTTTTAAATATAATTGAATTCTTATGGAAAATTTTATTAAAATCGTAGATATAAAAAATAATTGAAATAAAGAAAATTTTTGAAAATAATTAAAATTTTGCCAAGAATTTTATTAAATTTTTTGAAAATAACTGAATTTTAGAGAAGAATTCAGAAGTTTCTTATAAATTCTAAAAACTTAATTTTTCCAGTACTTTTAATAAAAATCCCTGACTTTTCCCTGATTTCCCTGACCAATTCTAATTTCCCTGACTTTCCTGACCTGTGGCAATCCTGATTAATTAATAATCATTATTTTTTTATTTAAAAAAATCGAGTTCGTTGTGTTAATAAAAAAATATTTTTTACATTGATAAATAATTCTGTCAAATTATACAAATTATTAAAAAATAATTAATAATTTATTAAAAATAATTAGTATTTTATTAATTAACAATTATCTAGATCGTCGAGTTAATAAAACAATATTTTTTCAATAGATAAGTAATATTGTTAGATTTAATAAATCATTTTCAAATATTGCTAATTTTCTAAAACTGGAAAGCAGTAAATTACTCGCTCACAGTAATCGAATGTGCGTATCAATAAAATAAAGTGAACCAATAATGAAAAAAGCCTTTTAAGAAAGTAAAATATCTTTAATTCAATTTACATTCAATCAAATGGAAATTAAATTAGTTCCTGCGTGAATAATAAGATATTAAGATACAAATTCGTAAGATGTTTAATATTCCTCTAAACCTGAATTTGCAAATTCACAGAAATGTTTTAATTAAAGTAGTTATATTTATATATATATAGCAAAAAGAAACAAAATATTTCCGTTTTATGCAAAATTAATGGAAACTTATTTAATAATTAATAATTTAATATTTAATTACAATTTTAAGTGTATCATAGCAAAACACGAGGAAGAAAAAAAAATGTATAAATATACGAAAAGAGATACGACAATTAATTTCAATCTTGATGGAGTTTGCAAATCTAATTTATATTTCCTCAAAAAAGTAAATTTTGTAATGAAAAACTGATGAACGGGATAAATATATAGTTCATTTACAAGTTTCCACTTATTTCAATTATATATATATCTATAGTTTTTTTTGTATATTGGTATTAGTAGAAAATTTATACGTTTACTACACAGAAAAGATCAAATTATTATGCATATTTAATGATCTTCATGCGCAATGTAATATATATATATCTATATTTATAAATAAGATCTCTGCTCACTGAGTCTCCGGAGAGATAATTTTCAAACAATTTATATGAAATGGCAAACTTTGCTGATTTTACGTTTATCAGCAATGTCAATTTAGTTTCAAGATACTTTTAATCATTATCATTTTTCAACACTAATAAGTACAAAATTATACGAAAAGTCGAAGGGCATTTTCAAGTGTTATCAATTATTTATCAGACTGTCGCGCTTAATTTGACAAGACAAAAATTTACATATATATACATATCAGTAAGTGGTTTAAAATCATATTAATACCTTAGAGTTTGTATATATGTACGACTACGATAATAAATTCCAAAAAAATGAAATTTTCAATTTTAATTTAAAAAACAGTTTTTTAAATTAAAATTAAAAATTAGTAAACGTATAGATAACGATGGATAAGAAATGAAAGTTTTAACAATGACATATTATTTGATTAATTTATAATTGTTTTCTCAATTAACATAACTCTAATGGCTCTTTAATTTTCTTATTTTGGGTTTCCCCTATACTGACAGTAATTATTATAATTATAATTGATTGATATATTATCATACAAGAATTTTTTTTGTGGGAAAACCAATTATGAAAAGTTTAAAAAGAACTGATAATCTGTTGGGGAAATTTAAACTGATTTATTATTTTAAATACATTTTAATTATAATAAATTAATATATTAATTGTTATAAATATATAATTTATTGAAAAAATTGAAACAATTTTGGGAGGATGATGAGAAAAATTTATCAACTTTATTTAAAAATTAAAAATTTAATTCATTCGGTTCGAAAATAATCAGAACAATATTAAATTCAGAAATAATTCTGAATGAAAACAAAAAACAATGAAATGGAAAAAATAAGAGAAATGTAAAATAAAATAATTAAAAATTCAACAAAATTAATTAGTTATAATTTATTAATTTTTAAGTAAATTTTTCCTATCAATTAATTAACTAATTTTGTTCAACTGTTTTTTAATTTTTAAAACTAAAATTTTTCTGCTGGTGGAAATTTAGAATAATTTTTTTTATATCAAATAGAGGAGATGTAGTAGAGGAATCATGCGTGGACCAGAGAATCAATAACCGTGCTTGACCAATGAAGTGAAGATTACTAAAGCCACGATACTATTTTCTCTACTTCGGATTCTTTCATTTAATAATTTGATTAAATTCGTACAAATTTCTTTTGGGTAGGATTTATTAAAATCATTGAAATCAAATTTGGAAAAAAATATTTTATATTGTTTTAAGAATATGTCGACAGTTTTATTACATTTTTAATGAATATAATTTATAATTATGCAGAATAAAAAACTTATTTGATTCAAATATCCGATAACTTGTCGATTTTCAAATAAATAACTTTTATTTATGTCAATTAAATGATATTTACTGAAATAATAAAAATATATACTAAAGTAATTGGTTCAAATTAAATTTATTTGATTCAAGTAAATATTTATTTGAATCAAATATATTTTTTTCAATATGTATTAATTATATTATAAATATAATTATATTTATTACTATTTATTAATATTTATATTATTTATTTTTATTTATTAATATTTATAAATACAATTATTATTATAAATAAATTATATTCCACGTTATAATTATAAAATTCCAATTACAAGTTTATTGATTGTGAAATTATTGAATCATTAAATTATGAATTCAATATTACAAATTTTCTTTTGACAGTTTTTAAATTAAAATTAAAAATTAGTAGATTTAGATTAACGACGAAAACAATATTGACATAAAATGAATGTTATAAGAATGACATTTAGAGATAATATTATAATTTTTTGAGAATTCAATTATTTGATCATATTAATTTTGAATTTCATTATAAATAGAATTTTAATTAATTCTAAACTTAATTAAATGAACTTACATATAATTTAAAAATAAAATTTGATTTAAGATCATTTAAATTACCAGTTGGAGTAAAAATTAGTAAAAACAAACATAAATTAAAAAATAAAGCAAAATACAAAATTTAAATATTCCTAAATGAAAAACAAAAGTTAAAATTAATAAAAATCTAATTTAGAAATATAGGCTGATTAAATAAAATTCTCATTTAAATAGAAAATTTCATTAAACAACATATGGATTACTTTAATTACAAAATATCAAGAAATAAAATAAAAATTAAACACTGAGTAAAAATTATGTAAAAAGCAAATTTGCAAGTGTAAAAACAAAGGAAAATAAAAAAAAATTAAATTCCACTCAACAAAATAATAATTAGAGGAAATTTTTTTTCCTCCGTCAATTTTTTCAGTCCAACAATAATATTAAAATTTGATGGAAATTTTTTTTTCTAATTATAATGAATGGAAAGTTTTACTAATTCCGCGACATATTCTCTTTTCAAGAATAAATTTCAACTCGTGTTTGAAGCATTTAGAACTTGTAATGGATGCCAAATTAATATTCATTAAAATTTTATTTGGAGGGAATCACGAATTAGAATTTAACCTTTCTGGCTTGCAATGAATAGTGTTAAAGCAAAGTTTAAAGGGTGGAGGGGGTGATGATGAAGAAGAAGAAGAAGTGCGAGGGGAGGGGGTCAGCAAGGTGATTACAGTTTATCTAAGCAAATGAATGCGAGCTTAATTTCGTTTGATGCATTGTAATGTGTTTGCAAACTGTCTTCTTGCACGCTATACATATTTTACAATTGTAGAAAATTGTAGCCATAAGAAAAAATAGCGAATAATAAAAAAGAGAATAAGAAAAAGTAAACAAATATAATAATTATGTAATTAAATAATTAAGAAATTGAAAAATTGAAAATTTAATTTAAAATTACAAATTTTATTTTTAATTAATTTAATTAGAAAATTAAAATTAAAAACAATTACCTAAACCAAATAATAGAATTGAAGAAAAATATTTTGCTTTTTTGAGAATAAAAATAGAAATGAAAAAGTACCTGCGTTTCTGTGAGGTGAAGCGAAGAGGAAAATTCCGCCCTCTCTGCTATCGTTAGATATTGTTTCTCGCGAAATTTTTTTTCTAACGAAAGCAATTGTTGCGTTGTAAAAGGTGTTCTTGGTTTTCGATTAGGTTTGTGCTTTCTTAATGTACATCTCACTGGTCCGGGTCCAGGACCTGGCAATCTTAAATCACCTGAAAAAAGACAAAATTAATTTATTTATTAATTTTTTTATTTATTTACTAATTATCTATATGTAATAATTTGTTTTATATTTTATATTCTCTAATTTCTTAAAAATTATATTCTTTAATTACGTTTAATTTCTACAATAAAATATTATATTAATATTAGTAATAATAATATTTTTATGAATTAAGTAAGTAATTAAAGCAATCAATAAAGTAATTAATTAAAGTAATCAATAAAGTAATTAATTTAAGTAATTAAGAAAGTAATTAATTAATCAAAATTAAAGCAACCAATAATTTAACTAATTTTAAAATAATAAATAATTACTAAATGTCAACTATTATATGTAAATATGAATAAAAGAAAATAAATATTAATCAACATAAAATATAAATAATAATCATTTACATAAAAAATACCCAAATATTCCAATTAGTCAATTAAATAATTATCTGCATATTAAATTTGAATTTACATCTGATTTCCTGAAATTAGTATTCAACGATTGAAAATAAAAATTGAATTTTAAAAAAATCGATGAGAATTTCGACAAAAAACGAGATTTGAAACAGAAAAGAAATAAAAATTTCCCAATGAATATTGACTATTTTCACAATTATGTAAACTTCCTGTGTTTAATTCAAATTATCGAGTAATTCATGTTGAATTTTTAAAAAGGATCACCGTCGCAAATAGAAGTCGAGGGCAAGTGTTTTGCAACTATAATTAATTATGCAATAATTCGACTTCACTAAGGCGACGATAATCAAAAATTTCATTATGCATATAAATATGTAAGAGAATTCTCTCTTTTACAACTTGTCAGTCGATTTATAAAGAGAATAATTTACAAATCGTTTTACATTAAAATTTTTTATTTCAAAGAATAGTAGAGGTAAACGAAGAAATAACAAATTAAAAAAAAGAAAAAGGAAAACCGAAAGAAAGGAATAAAAAAAGATAGAATAATAAGAGAAAAACAAAAAGTAGAAGAAATATAAGAAAAAGAAATGGAAAAAGAAAAGTCAAGAAAAGAAACAACAAGAAAAAAAAATAAAAAAGAAGAAATAAAAGAAGAAGGAGAAAGGAAACATAAGAAACAAAACAAAAAAGAAAATACAAAAAGAGAAATAACAAAAGAAGAAACAAAAGAAAAAACAAACACAGAAAGTACAAAAAAGTTTTCTTTTTTATAAAAAAATAGAAGATAGAAAAATAGATAGAAGAAAAAAAATAAAAATAAAAGCCAAAAACGAAACAACAAAAAAGAAAAGAAAAAAATTAAAAGAAGAAACAAAAATAACAAAAAATAGCAAAAAACCTAGCAGAAATAAAAGAGAAAGAATAAAGAAAAGACAGAACAAGATGGAAAAGACAGAAGAAACATGAAGGAGAAGACAGAAAAAATAAAAAAGGCAGAAAAAAATAAAAAGAACAAAAGAAAAGTCAAAAAAGAAAAATCCATGAAAAAAAAGAGACAGAAAAAGAAAAGACAAAAAAAGGAAAGAACAAAAAAAGGAAAAACAAGAGAAACGAAAAATAAAACAATTAAAAATTCATCAAAGATAATTGTTCGAAATGAAAAGCAATAAAGAAATTAAATATACAGTCAGGAATTTAATTTACCGTCTTTTAATGATTTCTGTCACTTCCGTTCGGTAATCAGACATAATTATATCAATCAAGTTGGAATTTGTATCGTTTTCTGATGGGTCGAAAATTGTTACAAGAAACATACGCGGTTGACATATATAAATGTGTATATATAAGAATATGTGTCTCCTTATGTTGCTTAGAAAGTGCATAGTCTCTCGTTTAAGAATGGACAGTAAAGAAAGTGAAAACACCCAATACGGAATTTATTTCCATTTACATTTGCACAGCGGATACCTGCTAATGAGCAGCATACACATTGGGCAATAGAGATTAAACTCTTTTTTTTTCCTTTTTCTTTTTCTTTTTTTTTTTTTGTGTAATTCTTATGGTATTCCAGGATTTTCAATGAACTCTTTTGAAAGTATCATCGGGTCATCGACTATATTTCATTATACACACCATTTAGTTTGACATTTAAGGAATCGACTTTTGTCCACTTTACATTTCTAATAAATAAATAACGACGTCTCACAACATTAGGAAATTTACATTACACGATTTGTAACAACTAACGAGTATAGAGAAAAATCTCACTTTTAGTAAAAAAATAATTTTTTTTTTTTATTTATTTTTTTACAAATATTTTATTTATCTTATTTACTTTATTTTATTATTTAAGATTTATTGTAAATAATTTACAAATAATTTTCGTGGATTGTAAATAGAAAAATATTTTTTTCTATTATTTATTTACCATTTTGTATACTGTAATAATTAGGTAGTTATTAAATATTTATTAAAAATTTATTTAATACACTATAATACAATAATAATTTAATTATCTACTACCTATTAATTACAGTACAAAGTAATAAATAAATAGTAAAATTTTTTATTTTTTATATATAAATAATTTATAAATAATAATTGACGTGAATTAATAGTAAAAATCGATTTCTACTATTTCTGCTATTTTGTACTGTAATTAATAGAAAAAATCTTTTATAGTTAAAATTCGTTTTTCTACCATTTTTTTTTTACTATTTTGTACTGTAATTAATAGTAATTAAATGATTAATTATTAATAATAATTAAATGAATTAAATAAATGAGTTATTAATAATTATTCATGTTATAAATAATTTATTTAATATTTCGTTATTTGAATTAATTATTAATTAATAATAATTATTTCTAATTTAAGAAACAATCCAGTTTGTTGAGTTAACAAAATATTTTTTCCTTAATTGATTAAACCTGACTTTCGTCAGACTTAATGGTTTATTAGAAAATAATAAATCCAAATTTTATTAATTGTTGATTATTGATTGATTTATTGAAAAAAAGTAGTTCAAACGAAATGAAGTTGATTGAAACAATAAAAATTATTTTAATAAGCAAATAAAAATAAAATTAAAGAGAGTAAAAAAAATTAAAATAAATAATAAAAAAATGAAATGGGAAAATAAAAATTATTAATAACAATATTATTTATAAATTCTACACAAATACATAAATAATATGTTATTAATTCCTGAGAGTTCTGGATATATAATTTGAATGAGCATTATTATAATATAAATTGTATATAATTAGTTATTATAAAACTATAATTGTAATATTAATTTTATTGATTGCGGTATTAATTTTATTAATACTCACATTAATGATCCAATCTGTGAGATAGTAATCGAAGAATTTCTTTTACTCTCAATTTAATTTAACAATTTTTTTAGTTCCTAACGAAAAAGAAAAAAAAAAGAAAATACGCTTTTAAATGAAACAAGTTTAGAACAAATTTTTATGTTGATGAGATTGTCGTAAAAGTTTTATATCCTACGGAATCTGGTATTAATTACTTCGAATATTATTAATTTCATAAAATTAAATGAATTTCTGCGAATATTCCAAAGATATTTTCACCGACGGTAAGAATCGTATATAATGTATAAGTTCTCATGTTCATAACAACATTTGAAAAATAGAATATTTCTTTATTTTAGTCACAAAGAAAATTATTTTCTGTTCTTTTTTTAAATATGTTTTGAAATAGATAAAAAAACACAAATAGTGTATAAATAAAACTAATTTAATTTTGCCCATTTTTATTTGTTACAGAAATAAAAATATTTTTTAATAAAAGAACAAATTAGTCAAAAAGCAAAAAAAGATTAAAGTCAGTCGAGTTAGCCTTAATTTAATTAAGAAACAAGTTTGAGACAATTTAGATAAATATTAATATTAAATAAAAAAAAAATTGCCTTTCGTGGGACTTTTTTTCAATCTATTGGTGAGAAAAAAAGAAGTGGGCCGGATTTCTCTTTTGGAAGAGGATATAGACGCAAATAAAACTGCTTTGATCAAAATGAACGTTGCATTTCACGTGATTTGAATCTGTTCACGCCCTGTGCAGTGATTTATAGAACCTTTCACATTCGGTTCCTATTTCGCAAAACCTTTCTCACAAATGCAATATTTCTAAATACAAAAGCAAAAGAGCAAAAAAAAAGGAACATTTTTTCTATTAAAACTCAATAAATTCTCGCGCGCACCGAAACATATATAAAACCAGCAAACTGAAATTCGATTCAAAAGGCAAATAATTTAAATATCATATATAGCAAATATTATAATTTATTAATTAATATTCATTTTTTTCTCTCTATGCTTCTCTTATTAAAAAATAAATCGAACCGATTGCTTCTATAAACTATATTAGTCAAGCATCATTTAAAAAATCTAATATTCTTTTTAATGGAGAATTTTTGATAATTTCTTCTTGTTTATTGCTATAGCAAATAATTTTAATCATTACCTATAATGAATTTTTTATCTTTATAGTTCCAAATTTATAATTAATTTTCGAATTAAAATTATAATTAATTTTAGAATTACAATTATAATTAATTTTAGAATTAAAATTATAATTAATTTGTAGAATTAAAATTATAACTAATTTTAGAATTAAAATTATAATTCATTGTCAAATGTTTCAGAATTGTAATATAGCTGCATAAATTTACTTTTTCTGAATGCATATTTCTGTGTAAATTAGTATTATTCGAGGGGGTATATATACTCCCGTATTGGAGTGTACACTTTTCTTGTAATAGTCGTGTAATATTGCGTAATAGGGCGTAATAGTACGTTATTACGTGGGTGTAATACCTAGAAATATCTCTGTATTGCCCTGTAATACCCTGTAATACTTGGTAATAAGTGTAATTTTAGCGTAATAAGTGTATTGGAGTGTACACGTTTTCAACCAGTAAATACCCCCTCGGTATTATTATTATAATTATTAATATTGTGTGGAAAAGAATTTATCAATCAATCCAAGTCAGGTGTTGTTTTAAAAAAACATAATTCTTTTTCACGTAAATTATAAATAGAAAAATTAATAAATTAATAAATTTATATTGACAATATTATTAATAAATAACAATATTCTTCTCAGAATTTCAATTATTTTTAAAAATTTAAATAAAATTCTTGGTAGAATTTCAAATATTTTGAAAAATTTCCCTCAACTCATGAATTTTCAATATCTAATAAAATTTTCCAAAAGAATTTAATTATTTAAAGAAAATTTAATAAAATTCTACGCAAAAATTTAATTATTTTCATAAAATAATAAAAATTCCACAAGAATTCAATTATTTACAAATTTTTTATAAATTTCCTCGTAACAATTCAATTATTTTCATAAATAATAAAATTTTTACATGGATTCAATTATTTTCGTAAATAATAAATTTTTTTTAGGAATTCAATTATTTTTATAAATAATAAAACTCATTGCTGAATTTCAATTATTTTTAACACAATTTTAATCGAATTCCTAGAAAAATGTAATTATTTTTAAAAATTTTATTAAAAGTCGTCAAGAGAATTCAATTATTTGAACATTTTTTTGATAAAATTCTTTATGATAATTGAATTTTAAGAAACATTCAATTATTTAATAAATTATTTCTTTTTGTCTTAAAATAATTGAATTCTAGTAGAATTTTTTAATGAAAATTTAAATTTTCCATACTTTTAACTGTCAATTCTGTAGAATTAATTTTTTTTAAAGTTTAATTTCATTTCATTTTAAATTGCTTCAAGTTTTTAATTTTTAAATATTTAATTGAAGAATTAACGAATAATTGAAATTCTTAGAACTGAATATTGTAAACAAATGGATTTTAAAATTCTCAAGGAACTTTTGCTAAAATTATTAAAAATAATTGATAATTGAATTTCTTCGAAGAATTTTAATACAATTTTCGAAAATAATTACAATTTTCGTAGAATTTACTTAAAATTGTATTAAAAATAATTAAAATCCTGTGAAGAATTTTATAATTTAGGAGAATAATTTAATTCTTGCAACGAATTTTATTAATTTTTTTTTAAATAATTGAAATTCTGTCAAGAAATTTATCGCTTATGAAAGTAATTGAATTTCTATAAAGATATTCATTAATTTTTCATTTTTGGTCCGTAAAGTCCGTATTTTCAAATATACTTTCACTGGTTCGAGCCCTGTATTTAGTATAATAATTATTTTTATTGGAACTATTACTAATATTGTTATTATTATTATTAGTTTTATAATTTTAGGAATAATTTAATATTAATACTTGATAGTAAATATTATTATTAATTTATAATGAAAGTTCTAAATTCGAAAATACTAAAACTACAAAATTACTCTCTAAATTTAAATTAGTAAATGTTACTAATAAATTAGTATCAATGACTATTTATTAGTAAAATTTACTAATTTAAAAGCAAAAAGTCAGTCACTAATTTTAATTAGTAATTTCCTAATTCAAATTTAGAGAGCGCATACTAAAATTCTTTAGGTTTTTTATTACGAAATAATGATTTAAAATTTAAAAACGGTTTTAACAGAAAGCAAATATTATTATTATTATCATTATTATGAAAGGTTTAATAAATTTTTCTATAAAATCGTGAAAAGAAGCTAATTAAAATGATCATATCCACCTGGAGGGTATTCTCTTCTCAATTTATCCAACAGCACTATATATTATTTTTTATAGACGATAGGGCGAGGATGAAATTGATCGATAAATTTTAACGGTCCAAGGAGAACTTGTGAGCCGTTAACGAATTAATGATTACCTGTACATATAAATGTTTAAATACATATGTATTCCATAAAGTGTCTTTATATAAAACACTAGGTCACTTTCAGTAGACGGTTTAATTTATTCATAAAATTTATTTCAATTCATGAAACAATCGTTGATAATCACCTGGATGTAATATCCGAACTAATAAACTATATGTATACGAGAGGCATGTGTAACATATTGTACCTATAAATGACTGTGCTCCAATTAAGAGATTTTTTTTCTCTTCATTTTAAAATTTATAATTATTCGTATACATGCACAATTTATATAACGATTGTTGTAAGGTTAAAATTTATTTTGTACATTAAATTTCCATGTAGGAACATATTCCTTATTGTTAATAGTTTCTTTTCTTTCTTATTGTTATATTCTTTCTTTGCATTCAATTGATTGGCGGATCGTTGCCAATTATTTATAATTAAATGTAACATTTACTGTCAGTAAGAATTATTGTTGATTTGCATATAACGATTTGTGTGAAAACTAAGCGACAAAATTATTTAAGAAAATAATTATTTTTTGTTTATTTTAACTAACTAATTTTAACTAAGTAAATTAAATAAATTAATAAATAAAAAAAATCTCTAAATCTGAATTAGTTAAAAATAACTAATTATTTTAAATTTTAACTAAAATTAATTTTTAAATAAATTTTTATTAGAAAATTCTACAAGAATTCAATTATTTCAATACGAAAATAAATAATTAATAATTGAATAATTACATTTTTCTCAACATTGAATTCTCATAAAGAATTTAAATCAAAAAAATTTTTAAATAATTGAATTCTTTTGACGAATTTTAATCCAATTTTTAAGAATAATTACATTTTTCGAGGATTTCAATTAAAAATGTATTAAAAATAATTTAAATTCTGATATGAGTTTTATTATTTATAAAAAAATAGGAATTTTATTATTAATAACAATAATGGATTAATAAAAAATATTTAAATGTTTGAATAGAATTTTATCAACATTTTTTTTAATAATTGAATTCTTTTAGAAAATTTTATTAAAATAGTAGATTTTGAAAATTATTGAATTGAGGAAAATTTTTAAAAATAATTGAAGTTTTGATAAGAATTTTATTATAATTTTTCAAAATTATTGAATTTCGGAGCTGATTTTTATTATTTGTAAAGATAATTGAAATTTTGACGAGAATTTAAAAAAAATCTAAGTTCTTTAAAATTTCTAATTAATTCATTCAAAATAAGAATTTTAGAAAATTTAAAATTGAAACCTTTTGAAGTTCATATACATTTATTAACTTAATAATTAAAAAAAAATTATAATTAATTAAAAAAATTAAATTTAACATAGTTTGAAAAAATATATATAATATTTGTTGAAAGTAAAATTTTATTTATTTTTCTCTGCTATTATTTACAGCTTTTGCTACTTTATATCAATGGATTTGAAATTTGTAAATAAAAACGAGCGGTAATTTCTTTTTTTATTAAAAATTTACGAGTTGAAAGATATTTAAAAATATTTCTTAAAAAATTTTTGTTGCGATTTATTTAAAAAAATTTACTACTTTAAAACTTTATTTTTATTTGCAACATCTCCAAAATTCAATGTTTTTGTGTTTTTAACGAAAATTCTTCTAGAAATTAATTATTTTTAATAATTAAGTCATTATTTAATTACTTAATTATTAAAAATAATTGATTTCTACTATTAGAAAATTTAATTAATTTAAAAAGAATGAAAATTTTTCAAAAATCGGAGTTTTTTAAAATTTCTAATTTAATTCATTCAAAATGGAAATTTTATAAAGCTTTAAATTGAAACCTTTTGAAATTCATCTATTTATTAATTTAACAATTAGAAAGTATATATAATTAATTAAAAAAATTAAACTTAACCAAGTTTAAAAAAATGTATATTTGTTGAAAGTAGTTTTTATTTTAAATTTGAAATTCGTAAATAAAAACGAGCTATTATTTCTTTTCTTATTAAAAATTTTGTTTCCAATACATGCGTATTTGATATCTTTCAAGGAGCATCACGAGTTGAAAAATATTTAAAAATATGTTTCTTGAAAAAATTCTATTGCGATTTATCTAAAAAAAATTTACTGCTTTAAAACTTTGTTTTCATTTGTAACTTTTCCACAATTTAATTTTTTAGTGTTTTTAACTAAAATTCTTCTAGAAATAAATTATTTTTAATAATTAATTAAATATGTATTAAAAATTTCAAAATTGAAACTTTTTGAAAAGTTTATGAGGCAAACAAAAAAGACACCAAAATTCAGAATTTTCTCATGAATTCTTTTTAATAAAAATCCCTGCACTAAAAAAATGTAATTGATTCAAATAACTGATTAATTGACTATTATCAATTAATTATTTACTTAAATCAAATAATATTTATTGGAGTCAATTAAATGGTATTTGAACCAATAATTTCAGTATTTGATGCAAATATGAATTGAACCATTTAATTGACTTCAATAAATATTATTTGATTAAATTAAATATTTAATTGACAATAGTCAATTACTCGGTCAATTAATCGCTTATTTGAATCAAATAAATTTCTTTTTCAGTGTGACTTTTCCATGAATTCCCTGATGACCTGTGATAATCTTGATCCAACATTCCCTGGTAAATACTTGGTACCGGTAATTTTTTCCCACCCCACTCTTTTCTCTTCACTCGACAGTGGAAAATATCCGACCTAAGAGGCAAAGAATAAAAAAAGTTGTTTTCTCAAAATTTGAGAGTCAAAATAGGAAGATGAAGAAGAAAGAAGGAGAAAGAGAAAAAAAGTTGATTCCATGATTTACAATGGGATTCACACCACGTGCGTTTTAAACTGATGTTGCACACCACTTTCATCGCGTCACGTATAACTTAACACGTGCGATTCTCCGCAAGTAGTATATACCTAAAGAGTTTTAAAATCCCCATATGTTTTCTGTAAAAAAAGAAAAAAAAAAAAAAAAGAGTTTAACTACTTCAGCAATATCCCCTTCCCTTTTTCTTCTGTACTCTATGGACATGATCTTTGTTGAAGAGCGCATAGGAAAACTGAATGCGGAGAGCAAAATACGGACTATCGTAATGAGAAACTTGTGTGTACGGCTATCATTCCAAGAAAGAAATCTCCGCGTCCTTTTGCGGGATTCTCGACGCATAAAGTCCAACAAGGAATCCGTAGCCGCGAACCTGTCCGCAAGTGTATAGATATATATATATATGTATACTTTGAGAGGTCTAACATAAGTCTGGTGTGGTCGTACACACCAAGCATGATAGAGTCATACATAACTCAGGACATCCATAATGCAATTCAACCAAGCACGTAAAAACTGACTCTTGTTAGTTTGACTTAGCACGCACCTCCAACTTTTATATATTTATATTCTGATTTCATTTCAGAGCAATCGCGATTCAAAGATCGAGAAGGAGAGAGAAATACTATTTCTGCGCTTTTATTCCACATCGAGCGCAATTGTTTTACTTCTTGGTATTTGAAAAAGCGTTCAATAAAAATTAAGTACCAATTAGAAAACGCATATAACCTTAAGGGAGTCATGTCATCCAATATGGATTTTCAATTGTGTGAGGAAAAAAAATATATTCTTCATTTCTTTTCTTTTCTTTATACAAGGCTCGAGAAGCAGTGAAAGAATTTAAAAATACGGACTTTACGGACCAAAACTTAAAAATTACGGACCAACTGACAAAAATAGAATCAATCCGAATCAAATAAGAGAACATTTTACTTAAAACTATAGTTTTACTATAGTCTTCGACTCGAAGTCATCGATTTCTTCATGTTTTATAATAATTAATACCTAATAATTATTAATAAAAATAATTTATAATAATTAAAATCATTATCAATTCAATTATTATTTTTAAGAATTTTTATCTAAAATTCTTCTTTATATCGATAATTTTTAATAATTTTCGAAAAAGTTCTTTGACAATTTCCAAATCTATTTGTTTAACAATATTCAATTTTACAAAATTTCAATTATATTCGTAAATTCTTTAGATAAATAAATATTAGAAAATAGAAACTAAAAGTAATATTAAAAAAACTCAATTAAACTTTTTCAAAAAAATTAATTACAAAATTTAATTATTTTTTAAAATTCACGCCATATTGCTTTTAATATTCAATTATTATCTAAAATTTTAACTGAAATTCATTTTTATGAAATGAAAATAAATTTTTATTAAAAAATTCTACTATAATTCAATTATTTAAATACAAATAAAATGCAAATAAATAAATTATTGAATAATTAAATGTTTCTTAAAATTCAATTCCCATAAAAACTTGTTATCAACAAATTTTCAAATAATTGAATTCTTTTGACAAATTTCAATAAAATTTTTAAGAATAATTACATTTTTCGAGGAATTCGATTAAAATTTATTGTATTAAAAATAATTGAAATTCTGCATTGAATTTTATAATTTATGAAAATAATTGAATTCTTGAGAAGAATTTTATTAAAATTTTCAAAAATAATTAAATTCTTGTAAAAAATTAACAGGAATTCAATTATTTTAAAAAAATTTTAATAAAATTCTTGGCATAAATTAAAAATAAGAAAATTCTTGTCAGATCTTCAATTTCTTTCAGAAATTTTAATAAAATTTTTCGCAAGAATTTAAATATTTTCGTAAAATAATAAAAATCTTTGCAGAGATTCAATTATTTTCAAATAAGTCTTAATAAAATTCTTCGCAAGAATTCAATTATTTTCAAAAATATCAGAATTTTAGCAGAAATTCAAACATTTTAAAAAGTTTTGATAAAACTTTTTTTGGTAGAAATTTAATTATTTTTAAAACAATTTTAAAAAAATGTCTCGATAAAATTCAATTATTTTAATTTTAATGAAATTCTTGGAAAGAATTCAATTATTGTAATCTAAGATTTTAACTGAAATCTATTTATAAATCAATGTTTATGAGAAAATTCTACTAGAATTCAATTATTTAAATACAATATGGAGCTGAGATTTTCTATACAAAAAACAATGAAAATTTTTTTTAGGATTTTTATACATAATATTGACTGATAAACAGTCAAATCGCACTGATTTTTAATTAAAATTACTGATTAAAATTTAGACAAGTTACTGACTAAATTTAAATTCGAGCAATTTTTGCTAAAAAATTTTCAGATAATATTTGATTTATATATTTTTGGTCCTTAATTACTTGTTTTATTTCAAATTTTTCTAAAATTTAGTAAATTTTAAACTCTGACAATCAGTAAAAAAATATACTGAACAAATTTTCTTAAAATAATGATAAAAACTATAAATTAAACTTAAATTTAGTTTAAAAGTGCTGCTTAAAATTATTAAACAAACCTTTAGACGATGTTTAGAAATAAGTCATAAATTACAATAAAGAATTTTTCACTACACTTAATTTTAATTTTATTTCAAAATTTTTTTCGGATATTAAAACTACAATTAATTTTTAACTAAAAAAATAATTAATTTAATTTACTTTTTCATTTGAGTATAATAGTTTTTAAAAATAATTAACTAGACAAAATTTTTGTATACAGTAAAACCTTTGCTAATTCTTCTTCTGAACTTTAAAAACAAAGGAATTAATAATAAAAATAATAAGTGATTTTTAGTAAAAAAAAAATTAGTAGTCTTTAGTAAAAAACATTTTTTTGTTGAAAGACAACTGAATAAAAAATAATTAAATTTGACTAATTGAATTTTACTTAATTTCAAAATAAGGACATAATTTTTTATTGTCAGATAACAAATTGAAAAATAGTCAACTTTGACAAATTTAATTTAATTTCAAAATAAGATATAATTTTTTCTTGTCAGGTACAAATAAATGATATTCAAAATTGACAAATGTGATTAAATTTCGAATCGAGGAATACCAGTATAATAGAAATTATTTCCTCTCCGCTGAATTCAGTAAAACATTCCATATGTCTTTCATCATACAAAAAATTAAAAAATTGAAATTCAAACAACTCGAATCGAAAATTAACATTCTAAAGATTATCGAAAATACTAATAAAGATAATCGCTGTAATTAAGCCTCAATATATACAATGTGACAGAAAATTATCACGATTTCTAATTTTCCCCCTCAAAAAAAAATTTAATAATTTACACTACTAAGATAATTATACATCATTAGCGGTATTTAATTATTATTTTATTTCTTTCCATTATAATACAGTTTCACGCAAGTAATTCATTAGTAAAAAGTTAATTATGATTATGGGAAAATTAATTTCCGACGATACAAAGTTAAGACCAAACTTGTTTTGTCCAGATTTATGTGAAATATATGTAGGTACATTTAAGAGTTTCTAAAGACTTGTGTCTAAATATATTTTTTTTAATTTTTAGAAACAAAAACCTATAGTACACATACATATAAATATAGTTGATGAGGGTAAAAAAAGTGTAATAGGCTGTCTGAAGGAATTCGTCCTTCAATTCAGTATCAATGTGTTCATTCACTGGGTTTACTCACAAACCCTAATTGTCCAATTAGGTAGCCATTCCTCGTGGGTATGCTGCAGACACGTCGTTCAGGCCAAAAACTTTTTTGATCGATTGACCAGTCAATTTACGTCAAATGTTTTCCGAAACACAATTTTCTTGTCATTAAGGAATTTTTTTCCAAATCTTCGCGCAGACGCCGTTATTTTTATCAAATTTGGACCAATTTCTTTAAGAGGGAGAGAAAAAAAGTTTAATTGTGCCATAAATTTTAAAAGAAAAGTTCTTCTTGTGGCGTAAATTACAATTTTTTTTAAAAAAGTTCTTCTTTTAAAATGTTGTAATTATAAATTTCTTCTTCATGATAGTGGAGTGTAAAAAATTGAGTTATAAATAAAAAAACGTGGTTCAAATAAGACAGAAAAATCAATTTTTAAATATAATTCTGCTGCTTGACAATTCCTACATTTTTATTGTGGTTTTTTTAAATTAATGCTAAAAAACAATTTTTTTTAAATTAAAATTATTATTTGTGTTCTTAAAGAAAATGGATTTTTTTTATTCAAATGTTTTGCCAGAAAATTCTATTCTTTTTATCAAGACGAATCGATTGGTCTATATAAAGTATAGGTTGGAAGATAAAAATAATCTTTTACGAAAAAATAATAAAATTATTGCTTCATATTGTTTCATGATAAAATATATCTGCAGTGCCAGCTGCACATTATTAAATATTTTCAGAGCCTAAACAATATTGTTTATTTATAAAATACAACAATTGCTCAAAATTGTTTAATTTTCATTCACCAGGCTGAACATAAGCTTATTTTATTTAAATAACTTTGTTAATTAACAAAATATTGAAAACATGTTATTTATATTATTTCAAGAGTTATTTATTTATTTACTTATTTCCTGAGTTGAATGCAAAAAACAAAACTTGTTTATTTTTAATCATTTAAAAGTAATGAGCAATGAAACAATTTTGATCAATTGTTGTATTTTATAAATAAACAATTGTTTTGGCTCAAAAAACTGATTTTCTAAAACTTCATACAAATAAATTTAATGCTATCAAGTTTCAAATAATTCGGTGAGGCTGTTCTGAAACTTGTGTAAAATTTTTACAAAGTTAGTCTCATATCAGTTCCAAAATGAAATTTACTGTTTCAATTTAATGCTAACGATTATTTTTTAACTTAAAATTATTATTTAACAATAAAAATAATAATACAACATTTCTATTTAAATATTACTTTTAGGTTTATCTATACATTTATTTTAGAGAATTGCATAAAAACTTATTTTAAACCCTCCATAAAAAATAATATTTAATTATAAAAGGAAAATCATATATTTCCTTCGCATGTAGAGGCTTTGAATATGATTTTTTTGATCTATCAACGGCACTTTGTACGTAAAAATGTCATTAATAAATTACTATACATAATAAATTAACATTTGATTAATCATAAAACATAATTTGAAAATTTTAGTTGCATGTGCTGAAAAAATGAGCATGGTGGATACTCCTGCAGAAAGGAACTATCCTCGGATTATCAAGACTATTATTTTTCTGGAGGCAAATATTCACAGAACTATAAGATTTAAAATTGTTTTTGTCGCAGAATAAAAATGGCGAAACGAAATGTAATATTTATCGCATTCCAATGAAATTTTTTATTCAGCGGGTTTTAAATTTTTTAAATTTAATATCGAATTCGTAATCCAACCCCAAAAATTACACAGTAATTAATTTCAAGTGAAACTGTTGAATTTGTAAAAAATATGAACGCCTTATTGGATCCGTCATTTTGAATTTTTAAAATCTGACCGGATTCGTAATCAACGATACGAAAAACACCCAAGTATTATAATTTAATTAATAATTAACTTTAATTATTTAAATGTTAATTAATTAATTTTCTAGAGATATCAGCATTTCCTTAGATGAACCACATAAAAGAAAACTTTATTTTCAAAATATTTTTAATCATTTTTAACAATAAAATATAAATGTAATCACATATTGTAAAAAAAAATAAAAAATTATATTGTACGATTTTTTATTTGTTTTTCTTTATGATAAATTTTATTCCTTGACTTTTATTAAATTTTCTTTCTATCTTCGAAATAAAAATTAGGTGCAATAAAAAAATTCTAATCAGAAGAAAATTAAAAAAACAATTTTAAACTATTTTTAAGCTGAAGAAATAATAAATTAATTTTTTCGATTTTTGGAAAAAATTAATTTATTAAATAATTGTGGAAGAATTTACGAAATACTGAAGAAATAATTTTTAGAAATCAATTTTCTATTTAAACCTACAATATTTTATTATATCTACATCTTTTATATTTTTTCTTTTACATTTCTTATTTCAATATTTTTTTTTTGAAAATATCCTTCGACCTATGTTTGAAAAATTCCGTTCAATGAAGAAACAAAAGAAAAAATACAAATTAAATTCCATTATATTCAAATGAAAAGAAACTTCAATTTAAATTTGAAAAATGTGCTATTATAAATGAGAAAATATTTGTAAAATAATAAGTCGCAATTCTATTGTATAATTAACAAACAAGGTCAACATACCCTCATATTTGTTGAACACATCAAACTATTTATTAAAGCATCCTGTTAATTTACATAAAATGTGTAACATAAACATTTTTCAATTATAAATATAACTGAAGAATAAGTGAAAAGTAAACCATATGTTTACACGAACATAAATTTTGAAACAAATAGCAACGCAATATTTATGTATTATAATAAACCGAATTTCTTGAGAATTTCAATTGATTTACATTATTCATTATTATATCAAGTATATTATAAGTAATTAATTGACTTTAATTACTACCCAGGCGCGAAAGACCAATGCTGACGATGGATTGAAGATTTATTGAGCCTTGAACGCCCAGCCTGGGTAACCCAGTGTTGAAGCAGTCTTTATACCACTGTCACTCAATGTTGATTCAGCATTGGACACCAATGTTCGTTCCATGCTCGATTCAAGACTCGGTCAATCTTCGTGAGTGAAGCTCAAACATCTGATCTTTATTCAAGCCTGAATCAATCTTGACAGTGTGCACTTAAAAATATTAAATATAAATATTTATAAATTAATTAATATTAAAATATTTTTTATGATAATTTTGTATACTATTTAAAAATTATTATTAATTATTATTATTAAGATATCAATTGGTAAATAAATATTAATATTTATTTAGTGTATATTATTCTTTTTTAATTATTAATTTATTAATAATAATAATAATAATAATTATTATTAGGTATAAAAAAATATTAAATTAAAAATAAATATTAAATATTATTTTTTTTATAATAATAATAATAATAATAATTATTATTATTAATTATATAAGATTTATATAAATAAAGTTAAATTATACATTATTATTTTTTTCTTGCACAGTGTCAAATAATTGTTTTCAAAGTTCAAGAGTTTCGTTTGTCTGAAAAATTTTTAGTGAAAAAATATGTTCATTAGGGTGTAATAAATATTTATGCCTAGTAGTTTTACACTAGGAATAACTGTTTAGTAAATATGTATTATCAAAAAACTATTTTTTGTCAAACGCGTGCGATTAAACACAAATAACCTTGAGACTTTAACATTGCCAACTCAAGAGTTTAACGTATGTGTTGAGTTGGTAATGCTGGAGTTTCAAGGTTATTTGTGTTTAGTCGCGCGCGTTTCACAAAAAATAGTTTTTTTGATAATATTTACTAAACAGTTAATCCTAGTGTAAATAGCATTAATAAATAAAAAAAAAAAAAAGCATAAATATTTATTATTACCTAATGAACATTTTTTTCACTAATAATTTTTCAGATAAACGAAACTCTTAAACTTTGAAAATAATAATTTGACACTGTACAAGAAAAAAAAATAATATATATAATTTAACTTATAAAATTATCATAAAAATATTTTAATAATAAATAATTTATAAATATTTATATTTAATATTGTTCAGTGCACACGGTAATAAAGAAAGTGAATATTGTATCAAGATTGACCGAGTCTTTAATCGAGCATGGGACGAACATTGGTGTCCCATGCTGAACAAATATTGAGTGACGCGCCGTATATACAGAATATACTGCGCTGGCATTGAAATAGTAGATTAGGCGAGGTGCCTTCCAGCCTTCTGTGGCCGAGCGGTTTAAATGCGTGCGTTTAGGACTTCCGGTATGCGTTAGGGACGGGGTGCGTGAGTTCGATCCCACATGCGAGCGAATATTTTTCATTCTTTGTTTTAAGCGTTATATAAAATAATAAAATTGTGTGTTGTGTGTTGTGAATAAAAACTTGTGAAAATGTTTGTAAATAATGTTAAAAAGTCTGCTAAAAAATCGAGAAAAAAATGTGTCGATTAACAGAAAAATTGTCTTTTTTTACTAAAATTATTTTTTTAATATTACTATTTCAAATGACATTTATTGTTAGTAATATATTATTTATATGAAAATAATATAATTATTATAATAGTAACTTATTTCCAAACAGACGCATATAACATGAATAAAAATAATATCAATAATATTCATTACTATAATAATAATAATAATAATAATAATAATAATAATAATAATAATAATTATTATTAAAATATTATTATTATATACAATTCATATATTCATATTATATTGAATGAGCGCGAGAGAGGCGTAAATTTTGGAACAGTGGAAGCAGCCTTGTTTCAGTCCTGCATTATAGGGTTCCGCAGCATTGATTGAACATTGAACGCCAATCTACAACAAAGACTGGAGCGTCAGTCTTAAATAAGTGTTACATTATAGCTAGAAGCAACCTTCGTTCCGCCGTCCCACCAAGGCTTGATCAATGTTGACCAAGCCTCAACGAAGGTTCCGTAAAGCCTGAATCTAGCGTCAGTTCTCGCCTGGGTATTCATTAATTTATATTTTATTAATTGAGGGTTCTGTTAAAAGAGCCGTTTATAATTTTTTAATAGTTTCTCAAAATTCTCAAAATCTAATTGAAAAAATTTAGAATTTTAATTTCTTTTCAGCATTTTGTTTTTATATAAAAATTCCAAGAATATTCTTCCAAAAATTGCTTAATTTAAAACTTTAATTTTTGATTTTACAGGACGAGTTTTAGTCTATGGGAAAAAATTTTAACTGCTTCTTCAACTGGGACCTTCAATTATTTTCACTGAATGTAAATTGATTGCCACTAATAAATCATATAATTTTTTATTAATTATTTTACATTAACAACAATTTTCGTTACTAAATCTTATTAATTGATTTACATTACTAAATTATTTTTGTTTTTAATTACTATTAATTATTTTCATTTCTAATTAATAATAAAATTAATTTACATAATAAAATATTAGGTATAAATATTGATAATTGGTACTAATTAATTAATTAACAAAGTAGAATAAACAATAGATAGAAGTATAACAATTAACAACACACAATTTGTTCGACAAGAGTATAAGATAAATGAATGTAAAAAAACAATACTATTTTTATCAACATCTAGACAACAAATATGTAAATACATTAATTTTCTATCAATACAATCGCGACTAATGAATATTCATAAATCCAATTTTCAAAGTCCAAGTTTATAAATATATATATTATCTAAAAATATATATTATATATACCGACATACAGTTAAGAAAATTCCATGCGCTATTTTTATTAATTCATCCTGTGGTTATTTAATTTAACATCAATAAACGATTAGATCCTATATTTATTAGATTTATAATATTGAATTTAAATTTCAACACAATATTTTCTGTTTTACAAGCGCATATATATATACATAAACCTATATCCCATAGGGAATATTCAAATGAGTCTAACCTCAGAGATCTCGATTTAAATTGACCGCAATGCGTGAATGGATATTATGTATTTATGATTTTAAAGATAACGCAAACTGAGAATTATATGTTTTACAAAGATGTATCGGAAAATTATCAATGAATCGCTTTTTCCGTTATCGTATATACGAGAGACATATTCAGTGCACATAAAACTTTTGTATATATGTTGTCTACGCACCTAACCCATGTAGAAATTTCCCTACTTGTCCCTACCAAATGTTGGATTCTGATTAGAACCATCCTAGAAAATCTACTCTAGAAAAATCTGTCTAGAACCTCGCTAGATTCTGACTAGAATCTCTAGTCTACAAAAACTAATCGGTTTCCAATCAAATTCTAGTTAAAGAATTATTATTACTAATTTTGTATTATAAAGAATTATTATTAATTGATATTATTATTTATTATTTTAATAATTTAAATAATTTAATAACTTTATAATTTTATAATTTAAATTATTATTAGATTATAAAGAATTATTATTAATTGAAATTATTAGATAATTCAGACTAGAAAAACTCACTAGGACCTTATTGATTTCCAACTAGCGACAAACTAGTGTACAAGTAATATACATAAATTGTCTTTCTATAAATAAATATTTTTATGAATTGTCAAAAACATTTTAAAGTATAATTGCACTTACATATATTTTTAAATAATTATTTTTACGGATAATATTACAATATTTAGGTAATAAAAATTAATTATACTCACATAATTAATATTTATTTGTGTCTTATTCTTTTAATTTACTTATTAAATAAAAGATTTTTATTTAATAAAATTGTTTTATTGGAATTTTATGTAAGAATGTTCTACAATATTAAAAATTGGGTTTCAAATATGTTAAAAAATGAAATAATTAAATAATATGCAAAATTTTTTAAAAAATAATGCTGGTAAAAATTATTTAACTAGAATTTGATTGGAACCCGACTAGTTTTTCTAGACTAGAGATTCTAGTTAGAATCTAGCGAGAGCCCTACTAGAGATAGGGGCAAATGGTGAATTGCTGCACGGGATGTTATTTAAGCGGAGGTGCTTCCAAGCTATCACGGCCGGGAGGTATGTGTATCCGACTGGAGTCCCCAAGGTCCAAGGTTCGATCCCCCATGGGCACGAGATTTTTCAACTCAAGTTTCAGGTTTTTCGTGTACAACATTCATTAATAATGTTAATATGAATGAAGAATTTAATTATAAATAGGTTAAGTTGAAAAATAATAATTTTTAAAAGTCAACTAGAAAATTCTAGTCGGGGCCCTATCAACACACAGCTAGTTTTAATACTAGTTCCCGACTAGATATTCTAGTCTATACCCCATCTGCCGACCGTTATGAAAGTAGTTGGGTTCTAACGATTTTCTCTAATCAGTTCCCCACTACAGATAGGGAATTCTGGCTAGGACCCCATAAAATTCCAATCTCAATTTCTGCATGGGAAATGGTCCATATATATGTATATAGACGCATTTATATTCCTTGGCATCGCGCGCGCAAGATTACAACTTTCTTTTGGGATCGCATACACACACATATATATATATATATATATATATATATATTTGATCAGATATCAACCGACTCCTATTCATAACTCGACACACCAATATCTTGGTATGGAAATCTTTCAAGTGCCCCTTTTGATCAATTTTCAATCGCTTTAACCTGGGCCCTGGATATATATATATATATATATATATATATATATATATATATATATATATATATATATATATAGGAAAACAGACATTTCCCTAGATGGAATTCAATAGGGAAAGTATAGTTTGCAATAAATAATGTTATAATTTTCCTCGCCTCATTCAGTATTGTGATTATAGAAAAGAATTATATATATTACTTTAAATTTGTATATTCAATAAATAAAACGGAATTCAAGTATATATTTAGAAAGTTGCAAATAGAGGGAAAGGAAAAATTTTAATTTTCGATTCTCACGTTGAAAAATTTCATGGAAGCACCCCCTGGAAATTTCGTGGAAATTCTGCAAGTTTATTATATTTTAATATTATTTTAACATTTCTATTATAATTAGAGTCCTAATAATAAGCTTTATTGCAAATTTATTTGCAAAACTTGAATGAAATACGCATTTCCAAAAAAAATTGCAACAAAGCTTATTATTAGCTTCTAATTATAATACAAATGTTAAAATATTATTAAAATAATTATAAATTAATAATTTATAAAAATTATAAATTTATAAAATTTAAATATTAAATTATTAAAATAATTATAATATGAATGTTAAAATACTATTAAAATTAAAAACTTACAGAATTTTCTTGACTTTTCCCTGATTTCAGGACAAAATTTTGAATTTTTCCCTGACCATAAAGAATATTCTGATTCACTCTAAAAAATATTAGATAACTCAAAAAACTGTTCCATTACATTTAATTACGACATTTTTTAAAATGTAAAATTATTCCAAAACAACAATAAATTCTTTTTTAAATAAATAATTAATCATTATTACTATTCCATAGGAATTAAGATTTTCAAAAAATTTCAAAAAACCTTTATGAAATTCAACAACTTATAAGAATATTATTATAGAACATGAAGATATTGATCACTCCGAGTCGAAGACTCGGAGTTATTGATATCTTCATGTTTTATAATAATTTAAACATCCATAAAATTTTTCGAAAAAAAAATTAAATTATTTACAAAAATTTTAATAAAATCCTTCCCAAGAATTCAATTATTTTTACAAGTAATAAAATTTTTCATAGGATTTCAATTATTTTTAATACAATTTTAAATAAATTCCACAAAAAATGTAATTATTTTCAAAAATTTTTTTCAAGAATTCAATTACATTTCACAAATAATGAAATTCTTTGCTGAAATTTAAATATTTTCAAAATCAACTATTTTCATAAAATTTCTTAAATGAATTCAATTTTTAAAAAAATGTAATAAAACGCATTGCTAGAATTCAATTATTTTCATGAATAATACAATTCTTTACAGAATTTTAATTATTTAAAAAAAAATTCAATAAAAATTCGTTATAAGGATTCAACTATTTTCATAAATAATAAAACTCTTCAAAGGACATCAATTATTTAAAACCAATGTAATAAAAATTCTTTATAAGAATTCAATTATTTTCCTAAATAATAAAATTCTTCTTAGGATTTTAATTATTTTTAATATAATTTTATGTAAATACTTCGAAAAATGTTATTATTTTAAAAAATATTCAAAAATCAATTATTTTTTAAAATTCATGCTATAATGCTTTTAATATTCAATTATTATGTTAAATTTTAACTAAAATTCATTTTTAAATCAATTTTTATTAGAAAATTCTACGAGAATTAAATTATTTAAATACAAAAATAAATAATTTATTTACTAATTAAATGTTTCTTAAAATTTAATTCTCATAAAGAATTATATCAACAAATTTTTAAATAATTGAATTCTTTTGAAGAATTTTTAAGAATAATTACATTTTCCGACGAATTCGATTAAAATTGTATTAAAAAAGTTCCGTTTATATATTTTAATAAATAAGAAATAAATAAATAAAAAATAGATGAAATTCTGCGATGAGTTTTATTATTTATGAAAATAATTGACACCCTTTAAAAAATTGTATTATTTATGAAAATAATTAAAATTTGATAAAAAAAATATAAAAAATAAAAAAATAAAATTAAATTATTGCAATGAAATTTATAAAAAAATTTTAAATAATTGAATTTTTTCGACGAATTATTATAATAAAATTTTAAAGAATAATTAAATTTTTCTAGGAATTTGATTAAAATAGTATTAAAAGTAATTTGAATTCATGCTGAGTTTTATTATTCATGAAAATAATTGAATTTTAGTAAAAAATTTTATTATAAAATAGTAGATATTGAAAATGATTGAATTGTGGAAAATTTTTGAAAATAATTGAAATTTTGTCCAAGAATTTAATTACAATTTAATTAATAATTCAAATAATTTATTTTAATTAATAGCAACAAAATGTTATGATAAGTATGTAATTCAAAAAATAAAATAAAATTCAAAAATTTATTTTTTTTAATGATAAAAATAATGCTAATAATAACATCTATTCTGCTTATAAAATGTATAAATATATATTTTAAAAATTCTGTTGAAACGATAATTTTGAATAATTTACGTATATTTCATCATAAACGTTAATATGTCACAATATTTTATTATTTTTTTGCTGAAAATTATAATTTTTATCTTTTGAAATATTAAAATTTATTGCGCAATCTTAAATAACAATAATAATCATTAAAAATAATTTAACAAAATTACTGAAGTACTGAAATTTTAAAATTCTGAAAAATTAGATTTCTAAATAATTTTAATTGAAATTTCTTCAAGAAAATTAAGTTTTTGAAAATAATTGAAAAATTCTCAATCAATTGAAAATTTTGTGAAATTTTATTCAAATAAATTTTATATTTTACAAAAATGTTTGCAATTTTGGAAAATAGTCTTGTCTTTGAAAGTAAAATATTTAAAAAATTGCTCGAGGGGTAGAAATGTTTACTCTGAGGATTTTAGGGGGCACTGAATTAGAATTTAATGATAGATTTCAAAAATCAAAAGTTTTATATGTCTGGTCCAATATGTGAACCAAAAAAGTTAAAAAAAATTATCCAAAATTGCTTAAATCGCATTTTAATAAGTTAGAATATTATTTTTTAAACAAATTCTACGGTTCAGTGAAAAAAAAATATTCTCAATTTGTATAGCCAAGATTTTAGGCTTAAGATGGATATGTATATAAACAAGTAAACAAATATCTGCAAAAAGAAGTGTAATAATTTATTGAAAATTAAAATTTAATATTTCAAAAGATAAAAATTACAATTTTGAACAAAGAAATAATAAAATATTGTGATAATTGTGATATATTGACTTATGAAGAAATATATGTAAATTATCAAAAAGTAGGAACCTCTAGTTTCAGTATAAATAGCTCACGTTTTTTAAGTCTATCTCAATCACTTCTAAACAATTGAACGTATTCGTATATATTCTAATACTTTTTAAAAAAAAAATACATTGGTTGATATAATTTTTGTAAAATTTTTGCAAAATTAATTTAAATATCTAAAATGAAACTTATTATTTCTGTAATTTTATTTGCTTTATGTTTTGTAATACATGACAGCATGGCACATCCAGCAATTGAAAAGTATCAAGGTAATTATTTTTAAAAGTCATTTTACTCTTAACTTAAAAATAAGTATCAAATCTTCACAAATTAGTAACAAAAAATATTAATGGAATTTTGACATTAATTTGATCTAATGTGGTATTAATTCGATTACTTCGAGGTTCTAAAAAATGTTTAATTGTACTATAATATACAATAATAAATACATAACAAGATTTATATTATTTTAAAGTGAATTATTTATGCACTCATAGGGTATTGTTCTAATTTACTTTGAATTTCTAGGGTATGAATTAACTCTACACTCACAACAACAGAACGAACTTTTTCCTGGAGTATCGAAAGCTATAGGTATACTTTTAATTTTAGTTTACGAAGTTATCTTATAAACTTTAAAGAAAATATATTTTGTCAAAGAATTAAAATTTAAATTTCGAAGAGCATTTTCGAAATACTTACATGGGAAGAAATTTTATTCAAACATTTAACAAAAATATTATTAAATTTGTGCTATTCCGCTGTGATAATTTCCTAGTGACACTATTAATATTTTGAAGCAGGCACAAAATAGTCCAGAATGAATAATCTATTTATGAAATTTTGAGATAAAATATTTTTTCCGTGTAATGCCAAAAAACAAATATTATTTTAATTAGAATTAATATTTAACATAAATAATAATGTAACATTTCTAATTAAATATTTTATTTTAGAGGATTGCATCAAATTGGATTTTGATCTCGTGGTGAAAAATAATATTTTTTCAAGATTAAAGTCAGTCGATCGCTTCTCATGTAAAGGCTACAGACATAAGTTTAATGAATTAGTATTGGCACTTTGTAAGTAAAGATCTAATTAATAAATTATTATACAATAAATTAACATTTGATTAATAATAGGACATAATTTGTAAATTTTAGTTGCATGTGTTGAAAAAAATGAGCAAGGTGGATACTCCTGCAGAAAGGAACTGCCTTCGGATTTCAATGACTTTAATTTTCATCAAGGCAATTACACAGACATGATGTTTTTCAAACGTTAATCCAACTAGAGTTGGGAGTAAAAATTTCCGAGTTAAAAATTGATTCTAAAAAGGAGTTACTGTTTACGTTACCTTTTAATGGAGTGGATTTTTAACTCGTATTATTTTTACTATTTTTTACTTTTACTCCAAAAAGCGTGCGACTTTTATAGAATCTTCCAGGGAGATAAAGTTTCTCCCTTTATTATTTGTTAAGTCAATTGACCGTCGCAATTATGAGTAAAAGAAACTGTTTTATTCAATTTGAAACATAAACGAATATTATAAAAATTTTGTTTTGTCATTTCTTATTACCTTTCTTACATACATATTATAATTATTTTAGAATGTAAATTGAAATAAATATACAAAATTTAAGGATTTTCATGTGAAAGAATGTCCAAATTAAAAAATTCAAAGAATCAATTAACAATCAAAAAAAATTATTATTAATAGTATTTTTTAGCAGGACAAGAATATGAATTTTTAAGAAAAAAGTTCAGAATTAATAATAATAAAGTACATGTTCCGGTAATGTGTTCGCAGTTCGAAGTTAGTTGTTGTTTGCTTTTTTGTTTCTTAACTTTTTTATAATTTTTATTTTCAAATATTTTCAATTTTAAAATTAATGTATTGAAAATCATCAAATTGTTGTAAAAAATTTTATCAAAAAATTTGATAATAATAGAATTCCTTCAAATAATTTTATTATTTAGGAAAATAACTGAATTCTCGCGAAGAATTTTATTAAAATTTTTAAAAATCCTAATTAAATTCTTTTGAAGAACTTCTTTAAATTTTTTTTAAACTAATGGAGTTTTTTAAATAATTTTAATTGAAAATTTTGAAAGCAATTGAATTTTATTAATTTTATGAAGAATTTTATTAAAATTGTATTGAAAATAATAGAATTCTTGCGAAGAATTTTACTATTAATAAAAATAATTGAATTGTTTCGACGAATTTATTAAAATTTAAGAAAATAAATGAATTTTATGTTAATATTTGAAAATTTAAATTCTTTTCAGGAATTCTATTAAAATTATTTTGAAAAGAATTGAATTTCTCCAAAGGATTTTACTATTTATAAAAATAATTGAATTATTGCGAAGAATTTTACTATTTATAAGAATAATAATTGAAATGCTTCGAAGAATTTATTAAAATTTTAAGAAATAATTTAATTGTTATGAAGAATTTTATAGAAATATTTGAAAATAATGAAATTTTTTCGAGAAATTTAATTAAAGTTGTTTCGAAAATAATTGAATTTCTTGAAAGAATTTTATTATTTTTTGAAAATAATTGAATTCTTTCATTTTTTTTTACGATTATATTTAAAAATATTTTGAGAATAATTGAATTATTCTTAGAGAATTTTAAATTCTTGTTAAAAATTGAATTTTATGGAAATTTTTGAAAATAATTAAATTCTTTCGTGTAATTTTATTTAAATTTGATTAAAAATAATTTGACTATAAAAATAGTTGAACTGTTTTGAAGAATTTATTAAAATTTTAGAAAATAATTAAAATTTATGGAAATATTTAAAAATGTTTGAATTCATCCGAGGAATTCAATTAAAATTGTTTCGAAAATAATTGATTTCCTGCAAAGAATTTTACTATTTATAAAATTAATTGAATACTTGCGAAGAATTTTACTATTTATAAAATTTTTAGAAAAAAATTGAATTTTTTCGAAATGTGTTAAAAATTTATTTAAAAAATGAATTCTTCCGGGGAAGTCAATTAAAATTGTTTTGAAAATAATTGAATTTTTGTAAAGATTTTACGTTTTAAAAAAATAATTTAATTGTTTAGAAGGATTTATTAAAATTTTTAAAAATAATTGAATTCTTTAGTGAAATTTTATTAAAATTTTTGAAAATATGAACAGTAATAATTAATTTTGTACTTAATAAGTGAATTTTTAAAATTTTGACTATAAAATTATTTAAAAAATTTATATTTGGAAATAAAAAATTTTGTAATTTGCATAACAATAATAAATTGAATATCTCGTTTTGTTTAAATCAAATTTAAAGTGTCTTTGCTATACAGTAAAAGATATTTAAGTTTAATTGAAACACATTTTTTGGTTCATTTAAAGATATAATATATTTAATTCAAACATAAGTTATGGTTGATTTTAAATTATTTATAATCAATTTATAATTTACAATTTCAGTACCAGTTTGAAATTTGAAGAAAAATTTCAAATTTTTAGTTAAAAGTAATAAAGTGTCTTTTTCACCCCCACTGTACTATAATTTTTAAATTTTTTTCTTGAAATTAAAAAATTTGAATACACTGATTTCATGAAAAGAACGAACTCAGTGTAAAAAGAAAACCCCTAAAAATCAGCAAACAAAGACTCTCGGAAATATTTCAACATCACTTATACATAAATAATTCTCTTTTTTTCCGTGAAATATGACAAAATCCCTTATCAAGTGATTGTATCTTTACACTTATCTAATTCCCGACGACGGACTCACGAACGCCGCAGCACTCTCATGGGTGCCGAGCGAATCATTAGTACTAATTAAGCGAACTCGTTCGCATTAAAGGTGAATTAAATACATGTGTATATACTCCAACGAGTCTCAAGTCAGTGGAATTATCAGTTCAATCTCTGTCTCTCTTTCTCTCTCATTTATATGTATTTGGCATCAAAGATTTTATTTTCCCCCTATACGACAAAAATAAAAATAACAGAGTGCAAAACGCTTGTAATTTGATTTTTATTTGAGAAATAATTCGTGTTTTGAAAATGAGTATTTTTCGGTAAAGGTCAGGGAAAAGTTAGAGATTTTTATTAAAAGTACTGGAAATAATTAAATTTTTAGAATTCGTAAGAAAATTCTGAATGTTTGCGTCTTTTTTGTTTGACTCATAAACTATGAAATTACCACGAATTTTAATACAAAAACTTCAATTTCTTCTATTTCTGACAATTATTTCTTTTTAAATAACTTTATTCTTGAAGAACTATTACAAAATTATTACTTATAAATATTACTTAATTAAAATATTACTTATTTTACTCAAATCTTTCAAAATTAATTGAATTTTAAAAGAGTTGCGTTTTCAATTTTCATAAATAGATGAACTTCAAAAGGTTTTAATTTGAAATTTTATAAAATTTCAATTTCACATTAAAATCTTTGAAAATCTGAATTTTTCATACTTTTAACTAACAATTTTGTAGATTTAATTTTTTTGGAAAAGTTTAATTGAATTTTTTTTTAAATTAATTTGAAGCTTTTTTTCTCCAATATATATTTAATTGAAAAATCTCCGCAAAATTAAAATTTCGTAAAATTGAATTATTCTAAACATCTAAAGAAATGGATTTGTAAATTCTCAAAAAAACTATTTCGATAATTATTAAAAATAATTGATTTATAGTACCTAGAATTTTATTTAAAAACACTAAATAAATTGAATTTCGGAGAAGTCAAAATTTTAATTATCCTTATAAATAATAAAATTTTTCTACAAAATTCAATTATTTACAAAAATGTTAATAAAATTTTGGCGAAATTTCAATTATTTTCAACAAATTTTCTCAATTCAATGATTTTCAATATTATATTATCTTTATTTACTCTCCCTGCTCACGCAGGGTTCGAGACTCCCTAATACACATCCTCTACTTAAAACTAAAATACATTTTCACTTACAACTAAACTTAATACGCTCTACTTATATCTACTAATCGCAATCCGCCAGTGCACCGGGTTTCCGTTTCCCGTTCCAATTTGCCCTTTTTGGCTTCGTCAAAATTTAAAAACTTTACAAACTACCTTTTATATTTAAGCATTACTGCCTTACCCCAATACAAAAAACCCCTCCCTTTATCGGCCCTAATACATTCTCTCTTCTCTCATTCTTTCTAATCTTTCTATCCATTTTTCCCCTTTCCCATTCTCATCCAAAATCCACTTAATTTTATCCCCCATCCCTCCCTCCACCCCTCCTACTTCAATTTCCCCCATACATTCCTCCAAAACATGCTTCCAATCTTCTACCTGAAACCCACACATCCTACACATTTTCTCTTCATCATCCATCCAATACCTACACTCTTTCACTCCTTCACCCATTCTAAACCTACACAATCTATTCCAACTTTCATACTTTTTCATTTTTCCTAAATACCCCGGCTCCTTCTCTCCCCTCACCATCCTATACCATCTATTATATTTTGACTCCACTATCCTGCTCCACCTCTCATTCTCATCCTTTTTCTTCCAACCCTCCATCACCTCCCTCTCATTTCCGCCCCATCTCCTTCCCTCCTCCAACGCATCTCCTCTTTCTCTCTCCCATCTTGGAATATCTTTCCTTCTCATTGCTTTCCCTTTCTTAACCATCCTCAAACACTCTCTCGCGATGTCACTCCCTCTTCCCAGCTCCAACTTCTCCTCCAATCCCATTGCCCTCTTCCTTTGCCTCAATACAACCTTTTCCCTTCCCAATTCCTCCCTTAACATGTATCCCGGACAATTCCTATCTACCCCCATAGTCCATCTTAAAAACCTTTCATGCAAACTTTCAACCTTTCCAATCTCACCCCACCCCCATACTTCCACTCCATAACTAATCACCGCCCATACCAAAGCATCAAACAACCATACACGCTTCTTCCAATCATTCTTAAATCTCCTCTCCCCAATTCCCCATACCTGTCCCATCACCCTTCCCCCTTTTTCTATTCTTCTTTCAATATTTAACTCTTGCTCCCCGTTCCAATTAAACCAATAACCCAGATAACAAAACTCATTCACTTCTTCCACTCTTCTTCCATTTAGCTTCCATTCCACCTCCTCCACCTCCCCTATCCTTCTAAATCTCACCACTTTTGTCTTCTCCACATTCACACATAAATCTTTCTTTCTGACGTATCCTTCAAATTCTTTCATCAACAGTTTCATCCCTCTTTCATTCTCAGCCATCAACACTACATCATCCGCATACGCTAGTACATACACACGTCTTTTTCCCAGAATCACTCCCCCTTTACCTTTTCTTTCCATTTTCTCCTCTAAGTCAGCCATTAACAAATTAAACAAGATTGGACTAAGGGGGCAGCCCTGCCTTAACCCCCTACCCAACCAAAACTCCTCCCCCAACTCTTCCCCAATTTTAACCTTTTCCCTGGTGTCCTCATAAAATTCCTTAATTCTCTCTATAAACCCCTGCCCTATTCCCAAATCTCTCAAAGTCTTCCACAAAATCCCCCTGTTAACCGATGGGAAGGCCGCCTTAAAATCAACAAACACC